ACTACAATATTATTTCGTATGGTTGGCAGAGCCAACCACACTCATCAGGCGGATATGTACAACTGATGTTATTACAAGGAAAACTTAAGCATATCATTAATTGAGAAGCAGATTAGCGGTGACTAAAAGGGTCTATTGTCTAGATGGTATATTGTTTATCTAGGGATTAGTATTCATTGGTTTCTTAGCAGGAATTCGAGAGCCTCTCCGGAAAAAGTTTGTTTTCTAGACACTTGGAAATGCATTTTCCTGCATTCTAAGATGTCTAATAATTAATGAATATCAGAAATCATGGTCTTTTCCTACTGTAGTATGGAATACCGATGTCATGAGGAAGGTGATGATGAGAACTGCAACCACCACGATGATGATGATGATGATGATGATGTTGATGATGATGATGATGATTAAAACAATTAAGATGATGATACTGTTAGGGAAGGTTCCTCATGATCATCTTCATTACAGTATCAAGAGGTGGAGGCCGAAGGAAGGCGGGTTGGAGTGATGCAAGCAAACCAAACCCAAGGCTACCAAAAGCACCCTATCGGGAAGTAGAGACAAAGGCCCTAATTCCAGTTGTTTTCCAAAATGTTGTTCTAATTTCTTTAAAATGTAATCAAATTCAAAACTTAGGTCTGACTTGATCAAACGCCCTCTCCAAATTCTGTTCAAAAATGTAAATCAAAACCAGCCAAGCATGACTGGTTTAAAACACATTTTACAACAACACAAGATATGCGAAATGTAAATCAAAACTGAATAGGCGCTGAGCAAGCTGCATGCCTCCAGATTTTGTCCTGGTATTTTTTAACATATTTTTACTTACCTTGACTAACATTCAAACAACAAAATTTGGTGATTAAGTTTTGATTATTATAGAAGCTCTATCTATATTCATTTTACCTATATAGTGTCTCAGTTTTCTTTAAATCTCAGTTAATTTCTATCCGTATTTGTTAGGCCTTGTGGATACTGATTCGTTGTTTATTTATTTCATTTCATTTCAACAGACCAACAGCGAATCTTCGCCACTAACAGGCTGGTAAAATATATATAATTTAAATATATCAAATATATAGACGAAAGAGTACACAAATTTCACATATTCAAATGATTAATAACAATAGAACGAAATATAGATAAACTATTGTGAAAAATGTCAATATTAGAGGTTAAAATATTAAGAGAATTATATTGAGGAGAAAGTCTAGAAATAAAACTACGTTTACAGACATCAACTCTACAAAAGGGGACATTAAAGGTAGGACAGGAACGAAAGCTTCTAGAATTAACATACAAACCAAACAGATGTACAAGATCACAATTAAAATACGAGTTAACACATTTATAGAGAAAAACCATATCGTGAAATAAAAATCTATTTTAAGACACATTAATTTACAAGGGCGATTAAAACATTTAAAAAAAAAAAACAACCTAATAAACTTAAGATGCATCCTATCGATGCGAATTAACTGAGATTCGGATGCAGAACTAATTATAACACAGAAATATTCAAAATGAGAAGTAACTAAATAACGATATAGGGCAATAATGGCGCCAGGGCTATTTATTTCTCTGCAATGTCTCCAAATGAACCCAAGGATTCTGTGTCCCTTACGAATATGATGATCAATATGTTTACAAAATGTAAGCTTACAGTCGATGAAGTCACCCAGATCGCGATGAACAGAAACTTTTTCTAAAACAATATTCCCAATTATAAGGAAAATATAAAGGTTTTAATTTAAGAGAAACCGACATTGATTTACATTTGGAGACATTGAGAGAAAGACCCCAGTGCCGACTCCATGCAACAACAGCATCAAGATCTTCCTGAAGACCCCTCTCAGTCCCGACAATACTATACAACTTCAGATCATCAGCGTACATAAGGCAATGCGAGTTATTGACAAAATAATGAAGATCATTAATGAATAAATTAATTTTGTTGAAAGTTGCCTGTGTCTCAGTGCTGTGGCATGCAATTGAGCCTTACAGCCTAGCGTCAGTTTCATTGTTTTACGGTTCACTGAAATACATCGGTAAGAGTGTGTTCTTCACTTGATTCTGTTAAACATGAATCTTGGTTTTAGATCTGTTTCGGCCTACTTGGCTGGTAAATCTAAGATCATTTATAGCAGCAATGATTTAAAAAAATCTTAATAAACACTGCGTAATTACTCACTCATTTAAACAAATCATTATGGATATCGGAATTCAACGACGATGGCGGGGCCGTAGAGCAAATAGTCACATGAGAAGACCAATTCAGAAAAAATAATAATTCGGGATTTATATAGCCCCTCTCGTTGAAACAACCTCGAAGCGCTTGAACATTATTGG